TGTAATCTAACAATACATAAGAGCTAACCTAAATGTTAAACCACATTACAAATAAGGAATAGCATAATTACACATAACCTCACAACCTTATTGCGCTTGATTTTGTGCTCAATTAAAAATAGATTTTCCATTGATTTGAATTTTTAAATAATTTTTAATCAATTTTAAAGAATAACTTAATATTAGAGTTCCTTCAGGATTTAAGTACTTATAGAATGAAGATGTCTACCAAGGATAAACTATATTAGTTTGAGTTTATATGGGTTTTGACTTTTCTAATTTTTTTCATATTTTTAATCCTTAAATAATTTGGTTTAATATTAAAATTTTAATGAATAATTATATTCATTAACAAATTAATTTTTTTTTTGTACAAAAATTACTTTAGCATATAATGAAATAACTAAACATAATTTGATGTTTTTATCACATAAATTGAACTAGCATGAGGTCTTTTCTTGTGTTGCACTGAAGGAGTGACCTAGAAAGCTTAGGAAGACTCACGAATAGATTATCCTACTATAGAAAAATGTCTATGCATTTTTAAACGATTATGGATCTTTAAAAATCTCCCTCCTCTCTCTAGAATACGAAGTTGAATACACAAGAATCATGATATGTGATTGAGTGCATCTAGCATAGGATTGTATGTCAACCTTGTTTGAAGTGTTGTATGTGCAGTTAGGAAGGGAAGGAAGATATTTGAAATTGACTTGAAGGAAATTTCAAACAAATATAACCTAAGATTGACTAATATATAACTTAGGCACATAGGGATGCTTGATGTAGATTTACTGCTTCCCATGTTGTTTAAGATCAGGTTCATGTTACGCAGCTAGGTTTAGGTCTTGAGGTCAGTTAAGGTTTATCCTAATTTTAGTTATTCTTTGACTTGTGTCTAGGCTTTTAACCAAGGGTAGAGATTTGGTTGGCCATAGGATCTAGTGGCAAGATATACGGTGCTTAAAATAAGGCAATACAAGGCCAATTTAGCTTAGCTTAAGGCATATTAACCATATCATAATATTTGACCTCATTGAAGAACATGCTTAGCAAATATCCCAGATCAGCTATGTCGTTAACAAATGGGTAAAACTTTGTCCCTAAAGACCCGATGTGCCACGTTATGGTTTATAGTGCTTAATAGGCAAGCAGATGAAACAGTAAATTAGCGAAAGAAAAAGGGTACAATCAACAACCATTATTTTATGGTAGTCAAGGAGACATGGTGAGGTCGGCTCCCATCATTTCCAATCCCATGAGAAGTTTGTGCAACGTTTTAAACAAGGCCACTATTTCAACCTCTCAATATTCCAAGCAATCATAACGTCAAACTAGCCTCACTATTGCATAACCGTCTTTTCAGGATGTTAGACGCCACTAGACATGACATCATTTATTAGCTTTTCATATAAGGATATTATTAAGAAAAGTATAGATAATATTTTAATAAGACATGCATTTATAGCAAATTTCATTTGCTCAAGTTTCTTAGGATCGAGTAATAATAGGTGCGTAAACAAATCACACACACTTCAATAATCTCACAAAAAAACAAAGCACATACATAGTTAAGCATGAAATTAAAAAAATAAATCAATATTTAACTTTGAAAATGCAAAATTATTTCTACACACTAAGTGTGAAATGATAGCTGTTATTTGTTTGAATTTCTAGTTATATATCACAAGCATATATAACCTACGCTTTGGTTGCTATGGGTGAAACTAAGCCTAGCCGACGCACGTTAGCGAGCCCTGGCGTGATTTGTTAAGTGGTTCGTGAGCTGAGCACGATAAGCTATTTACATGCAAAGCTCATGAGTTGATTTGCTCAAGAAAATATATTAATATAACATACATTCAAAAAATATTAAAATTCAAAAAATTTTTTATAGATTTTATAAAATGTTTAAAATGTATACATTAAATATTTCTTAAGAAGCAATTTTTTTTATTGTTTATCTCCTTAAAGCTCCTTTTATTTGTCATTTTTATTTTAACACTAAATTGAATTAATATTGTTTCTCGCTTTTAAAAAGAACAAGCCAGCTTAATCTCATTAAAATATCCTCGAGCTTAACTCAGTTACTTAGTTAAGCTCAAGCTCTAAAATAGAGTGGCTCGAGCTCCACTTACTCATTTATAGCCCTAGGTTAAAATTAGAATACCCTTATAATATAATAAATGATGAAATTAAAAAAAAAAAAAAAGATACATTTGCATTTAAAACAACACAACACAAGACTCAACACAAGGTACCTATAGTTGAAGATTGAAGAACAATGTTAATAAGTTGAATTTTAATTTAAAAATTAACATTACATGTCATCTGGGTTTATCTAAAAATAAATGATTTAAAAACTATGTATAAATAATTTTAGGTTTCGGTAGAATTAATTTTGATTTCAAATTAAAATAATAATAATAATACGATAATATAGTTAAACTTTAATTAGAATAAAAACAATTTATGAGAAAAGAGGGGTCAGAGATTGATGGGGCTTTTCTCTCTAGGTTTCTCTCTTTCTCTCTCTAAAAACAGGATTCCCAATCTCCCTCTCGCTCTCTCTCTCTCGCGCGCGCGCAGATACACATGACTAGAAAACAGAAACCTTTTCTTTGAGCCATACTTGACCACCTGGAGATCATAAGAAAACATAAAGTGGGAAACATGAACTTTAGCAATACATCCATCAGCCTCTTCCATACCTTACTCTTAAAACAAACTTTACTAGATTGTATTGACTTACAAACAATACACGATCCTACGTCTTAAAAGGATTCAACAAAATAACTAAGAAGTTTTTTATTTCCCTTTATGCATTCACAAGACCATTTAAATTTTATCATCACACATTTGTCCATTTCAATACTTGCTCGCTATATAATATAAGATTAAAATAATTAGTTTTTTAAGATACAACATTACCACAAAATCATTCTGGCGAGAGGATCATTTCATACACTCATGAACAAACCTCCTACCAAATTATATTAGTCTCAAACATTAATGCAACTAAACATGACATTGAACATTGTTAATACATTTAAAACCTCAGAAGTGCCTTGAGGTGCACCTAATAAATTCATAAAATCAATTCTCACACGAGATTCCATTATTTAATGGATCTAAAATTTAAGGATAAAATAATAGGCCTCAATGAATGAGTAATTGAGTATTAATACACATTATTTAAAACATTCTAGATGTCATATTAAATATATAGTAAGACAATCATTGAAACTTTAAAGACCATAAAACTATGGGGCATTTACATATATACCACACAATTCTGGTGTATTTATATATCTAACACCTCAACATTCATATTTACATGCTTACCATTGAAATCATTAATATCACATTAAGAATATAACAAACATTACCTTTCTAAAAATGAAATACACAATTTCATACATAGGTTTATTACACCAAAGTGTTCTAAGTGTAAATATCAAATTGGGTGATAGAGACATACAACAACAACAACAACAACAACAACAACAACAACAACAACAACAACAACAACAACAACAACAACAACAACAACAACAACAACAACAACAACAACAACAACAACAACAACAACAACAACAACAACAACAACAACAACAACAACAACAACAACAACAAAGCCTTAATCCCACTACGTGGGGTCGGCTACATGAATCTTTTTTCTCCATTGCGTCCTATTTAGTGTCATATTTTCATTTAGTTCTAGTAAGTTAAGATCATTTTTAAAACAAAAGCCCATGTCTTCCTAGGTCTACCACTGTCTTTATTAACACAAGTCGAATCTAAAACATCTACTCTCCTAATCGGATCATCAGATGGTCGACGTTTAATGTGACCAAACCATCTAAGACGACTTTCTCTAATTTTGTCCGTCACAGGAGCTACACCAACCCTATCACGAATATATTCATTTCGCATTTTGTCTCTAAGTGTAAAGCCACTTATCCACCTAATCATTCTCATCTCGGCAACACTTAACTTATTATTATGCTTCTCTTTTAAAGGCCAACATTCAACGCCATAGAGCATTGCAGGTCTCACCACCGTCTTATAAAATTTTCCTTTCAGTCTGAGCGGTACTTTTCTATTACACAAAAGGCCCAAAGCATTCCTCCAATTCAACCAACCAACTTGAATTCTACTATTAACATGCCCATCTATATCACCATCGCTTTGAACAACAGACCCAAGATATCTAAATCGTTCACAACTTTTAATAATTTGATCACCCTAAATCACACTTCTGTCATATTATCTAAAATTAAGTGAAACCTATGAAAATTTGGTGATAGAGACATAAATAAATAAAAATTAAGTGAAACCTATGAAAATTTATCTAAAATTATCGAACCATTGAAATCAAGTACTATTAAGAAAATGTGTTGATTTCATTAAACCAATCACCCTAAACTTAATATAAAAATTAAAGAAAAAGAACTAATAATCAAATCAACATTAACTCAACCAAGATGAGCTCAAAAAGAAAGCAGAAGGAATAGGTTCCTAGTAATTGACTATATGGACGGGAAAAATCTAATGAAATTTCCATACGACATCACAAGATAAATGAGTCGATCTTCGATTTCGTATAATCAATCCTTTGGAACACCAAAATAACTATTTGAATTTTATGATCCTAAGGGAAATAATTTAAAGAAATGTACAAAAATACAGCAGGAAGATAAAAATGGTCATAAAAATCTTAAGAATATTTATATACATACAAACCACTTAATTCCTATGCATTTACACATCCAAAATGTGAACATCAATTTTACATAAATGACCCCTTCACCCATGCATGAAAAGCTGTATTTCACTTTTTAAGTTAAAATAATAGTATTTTTTATGTGATAAGAAAGATTTGAGTGGTATGTAAGTATTCCCAAAAAAAAAAAAAATAACTTAAGCAAAGTTGACACTAACTTAAGACAAGTTGACATAATAAATACATAGGAATTGGGTGGTATGTGTATGTTAAATGCCATGCATCCAAATACAACTAAGCCAAAATATAGGATGTTAACAGCAAAAAAGAAATCGCAATCTTTATCACATAGCTACTTTCCACTTGGACCAAATTAATAAAACCACGCTATTAAAGTTCATGTTGTATCGATAATGTTCATTAGATGCCTTGAAACAAATATACCTCTACCCTTTTCATATGTATAAATTGCAGAAAAATTTTGCTTTAACTCCACACCGTGAAAAAGAAATCTACCTGCACAGCACCGCCAACAAATCAAGTTAAGTGGAGCAGCAGGAGTACTTAGCACCGCCACTGGAATCAGAAACATTGATGGTCGTTCCCTGAATACGAGGCCCAGCCAAGGCGGCCGCCTCTTGTGCGGCGAGGGCCTTCTTGCTCACGATGCGGAAAATCTCAGTCAGTATCGTTTCAAAAGCTTTGTCTATATTGCTTGCTTCCAATGCTGAAGTTTCCAGAAACGAGAGCCCTTCTTTCTCGGCCATCAGCTGTGCATCCTCAGTGGAAATAGATCTTAGGTGCTTGAGATCGGATTTGTTGCCAGCCATCATGATGACAATGTTGGAGTCCGCGTGGTCTCGCAGCTCACGCAGCCACCTCTGGATGTTATCAAAAGTTTGTCTTTTAGTGATGTCGTAAACAAGAAAGGCTCCAACGGCGCCACGGTAGTAGGCACTGGTGATGGCTCTGTATCTTTCTTGACCGGCAGTGTCCCATATCTGTGCTTTCACCGTCTTCCCTTCAATCTGTTAAGTGTGGAAGATTGACAAAGCTGTGATGTTTAAGCATATTCTCATGTCTATGATGTTTGTTTGATCGGTAACCAGAAGTTTTTGCGAGAAACAAGATGTCAAAACAACCTACAGACAACAGTTACAACTTGCTTCACAGAGTAAGATGGGTAATATTTTCATTTGGTTTATGAATTATATTTAAGAGAGCTTTAAAAAACTTGAATGGATGTGAGGTTATAGAACGTGGTCATGGTTTTCATTAGTAGTTGAAGAGGATTAAAAGTGGTTTAGCTGGGGCCAAGCTGTAGCCTGGGATAAAATAGTGTATCCTGCGATAGATTATGAAATGGTTCTGCCATTAGCAACGAATTTTTCTTGGGGGAGAGACTTTATCACCATGCAACTCAAAAGCTAGGCTAGGAGAATGTAACCATTCGGCAAATTAGTCAAAGCAAAACAAGCTAAAATGGTAAGTTACAAAAATGGATCTGGAAATGCTTTGAAACTCGTATAAACTGCTCTGCCATTTACCATGTTATTTGTATCTTTTGAAAGGAGAAAAATCAAGTGTACAGATGAGAAAGAACCGCGTCCAAATAATATTTATTAAGAACTAAAAATGTGAATGGAAATTTCTCAAAAGTACCGTGCCCTTTCATCGAAAAATGGCAACAGTTAGATATGTTTGATCCACGTCCTCATTCAGGATTGGTATATCTTTCCTTCAATTTGACTTTAGATTTGTAGAATGCCATAATTTTTAATTACATTGATAGGGAAGAGATTAAATCCTAAGTTCATTAATATTATAATTATTTTCTAACCAATAAACTAATATCAAACTAAAAGAATTAGGTAAAATTGGATCAGTGATGCCACTCATACTTGGACTTCTTCTAAGTAAGAAAGGTCTCAAAGTAAAGATGAGCTTAAATTTAAATTTAACGTTTACTTTATCCTTCTGTCTTTCAACCTAAGGGAATTTCAGTTAAAATGGCATCAGATCACATGGTTCATTTAATGATGAAACTTCTTATAATTGTTTTTAAAGGCAAGTCAGGAGCTCCACTAGGGTTTCGGATGAGGCAAAGCCATAACACATGCAACATTATTAAGGCATATTTAGGCCAGAACCTTGCCTTGATTGAGAGACCCACGCTTACACTTAATGCTTGAGATGACTTAAGTTTCAGAATGATAACTTGGTAAGGGATAATGAAAAAATAGCATCAAGAATAATAATGCTCGTTTGAAAACAAATTGAATCAAATATATGGAATATATGGAAAGAGCAACGGATAAATCGAAAAGATCTCGAAAGATAAAGGAATAAATAGAAGGATATGAAGATAGTGATGGAGAAGAAAGTATGGATGTTGATGAAGGTGACATGATGGAATAAATGGAGGGGCAGAAAAAAACATGAATCTTAAAAAGACGGAATAGATATAAATGAAGAACATATTATCCCTTCAATGCCGCTTTAAAGAGTTTAATTGTAAAAATTTAAGATCAACTATTTAACAAGATTTTCAAATTTTCAATGCAATGAATCTAGAAGAATATTTTTCAAACAAAATTTCATGCGTCAACTAATAGTATATTTTCCTCAAAATTATTCCTTTCAGTAACAATAAATTATAAGTTGCAAAGCTATTACATTTTTAATGTCTCACTTCAGTCATATGAGCACCTCTTCCAACATCTAGCAGCTTAGGTGTTAGGGTTTTGGTACTTTCATAACAATAGCTTTTAATACAAAGATCGAGGGCTAAAGTTGCAATGAATGAAAGGCAGCAGCAATTTTGCAGTGCAATAAAAAAAATGCAACTTTAAGAAAACAAAATAATAACTACTTAAGATGCCTTTTTCATGGTTACCTAAATAACAACAAATGCCAATAAGTACCTCTACTATCCCAACTTTGATGATCCTACAAGGTGTTACATTACAAGTGTTGTAGAATTTCCATTGCAACCATAAAAGTTGCACAATTAAGTAAATAGCATCCTAAGATGGCAAATAACAAGGAATCAGAACAAATCAATAACAAATACAAAAATGGGTTGAAGGAACCATATCTTTGATTTCGTCCTTTTTTTTTTATGAAAATACTATTGAAACATTATAAATCAGAATATACGATGGAAATTCAAACATCTTGGAGAATTAACTTTGGTCATTGACTTTGGGTGATCAAATTATCAAAAGGTATGAACAATTTAGTTATCACGGGTCTGTTGTTCAAAGCGATGGTGATATAGATGGGGATGTTAATAGTAGAATTCAAGTTGGTTGGTTGAACTGGAGGAATGTTTCGGGTCTTTTGTGTGATAGAAAAGTACCACTTAGACTGAAAGGAAAATTTTATAAGATAGTGGTGAGACCCGCAATGCTCTATAGCGTTGATTGTTGGCCTTTAAAAGAGAAGCATAATACTAAGTTAAGTGTTTTCAAGATGAGAATGATTAGGTGAATGAGTGGCTTTATACTTAGAGACATAATAAAAAATGAATATATCCATGATAGGGTTGGTGTAGCTCCGTGACAGACAAAATTAGAGAGTCGTCTTAGATGGTTTGGTCAGATTAAACGTCGACCATTTCATGATCTGATTAGGAGAGTAGATGTTTTAGATTCGACTTATGTTAAGAAAGACAGAGGTAGAACTAGAAAGACTTGGGCTTATCGTATAAAAAATGATCTTAATTTATTAGAAATAAATGAAAATATGACACTAAATAGGACACAGTGGAGAAAAAGGGTTCATGTAGCCGACCCCACGTAGTGGGATTAAGGCTTTGTTGTTGTTGTACAGTTTTCTTTTCTTTAAAAAATAAAATCAGCATCAAACCAGAGTCATTGTTGAGGAAAATAGCACAAGCAATAATGGCATAATGAAATGAAGTGCATGAATACTACTTGCACATCGAATAGAGCTGATGGCTAAGCTGAGTTGGACAAAGCAGTTCACTGTTATTCAGTGATTTGTGACTTATCTGATGGATGGAATGAATCTCTAATCTATGTACAAACTCAGTTTTCCTAGGTGCTCATATTGTGTATATCATAAATCAAGTATCAAATAAATTACGATTTCTGCTCTTAAAAACTGTCGAGATAAAATCTATTTGCAATGAATAGATTACAATCAAAAGTCCCTTTTCAGCAGTTTTTCTGTACGTACTTTAGTCTAGGAAGTAGGCAAAAAAATTTTCAGCACAGAGAAAGCCTTAAAAAGATCCTGTCATCGTTCAAACAACAATTAGGAAACAGAAAAATACATAAAAGGAAAAAATGCTTATTTTTAACCATTGTTGAGATCGAACTAATTAAGTCCATAGAAGATTACACTGCTGAAAAATATAATATTGAAAAGATAATAGATGCACAGATCACTCAAATAGAAATAAAAATGGATAAATGCTCTCAACCAAAAAAATTTAACAATCATAATTTAAAAATTGCTTGGGAGTTGGAAAACAAGAGTAAATGAGCACAGCGGTTTTCTAAAACAATACTTCAGACAATTTAATTATGTCAATCATACTCACAGCTGAGATTCATCATTTCCATATATGATCATGCAAATTTTGCAATTGTTAACATTGATAAATCATAATAGTGATTAATCTTAATCAAACATTCATTTGGCATCATGCATCCTCAATCGCCACTCCTGTTGAGCTACATCAGATGCAATATTTTTGTTCAGACTTCATTTTGCACAACTATTAACCATCTTATCATGGTTTACCCCTTCCTCCTTCCGAAATAAATTAAGGGGATTATTTGGCTGGATGTTTCTAAAATGCATGCAACTTAAAAATACAAAATTTAGATGGGTTGGATGCAAATCAAATGTCAATAAGAACTTTTGTGTTTGTTAGAATTAATTTTAAACACATTAAAATCTCTCTCTCTCTCTCTCTCTCTATCACTCTTATGAATGTGATAGGCTTGGAGAAGGCCACCAAAAAGAGGGGATTTTGGGAAGTTTGTCAAAGAAAGAGGCGCTATAGGAAGAAAGTTACCGTAAAAGGACGGATAAGTGCGACGTGGAGGGCTTGGGGGGTGATTGAAGGCAATGAGAGCTTAGGGAAGGTTATGGTATGCGCGGGAAGGAGCAAAGAAGGTGCAACGTGGAGGAATTTGAGGGAGTTTGGAGGAACGAGAGGTGTTCAGGAGAGGTTGCAAATGATAGAGATGGTGTGCATAGAAATCAATTGATTTGTTCGATATGCAAACACAGGAAAAAAGGGTATTTAGGGTGTTTTTAATGCTTCAGAAATGTCTTTATATTATATTTCTCTAAACCAACCATAAAATGTCAAAATATGGGTAAACAAAAAACAATATACACTTAATGCTTTTAACTAAATAAATCTATATATACACCCTTGTTTGATAAATCTTTTGCCTGTACTCTACAATCTTAAACCACCTAAGTTTACATTTCATATTATTTTCATTGAGTTACGGCACACATTCCTTCCAACATCCATCGTAATAGTCTGATTTTTGTTAAACTTTTGCACAATTACGATTCAAACCATAACAAGTTCAGAGTTGAGACCTTTAACATGATTATCTCACTTGGATGACCATAACTTTTGTTGTTCTGGTATCAAAGGCGAAACTAATAACTTAAATGGCGTAATAGATGCTAAAAAAATGTTAAAGAGACCATGAAAATAATCCTACAACAAAAATCCAAGAGTAATATTTGATGAGATGTAATAGCTATAATCACGAAACTAACTTTATTACGCCAATAACGAGCTCAGGTATCCATAATAATTTCACAAACTAACAAAAGAGTAATATTTAAATGCAAAAGACAATTCTTCAAGTATTATTGCATCACAAAACAAGAGACAAGACTTTCAGATAGACAGATAATAAAAGACAATTCTTCAAATATGCTTAAAGGCTCGGAATGGCGGAAGTAAAGCAAGTCTGTTTACCAAGGTCGCTTTTTATCTTCTATTAATAATCTATTCACCATATAAAATTTAATTAAGCATTACGTAAAGAAAAAATCAAAGCACACGAAAGCGCTGCAGCAGTAAAGCCGGCTGCTTCGATTATTTCCAGAACGGAGATCTAACAAAAGAAAATCTCACCTGAAGCGTTTTCGTGGCGAATTCCACACCGATCGTGGATTTGGAATCTAAGGAGAACTCGTTCCGCGTAAATCTCGACAGTATGTTGGATTTTCCAACGCCGGAGTCACCAATAAGCACGATCTTGAAGAGATAATCATATTCATGGTCAATTTTGTGTGCCATTCCAGTTCCAGCTTTTGCTCCGCTGATTGCCAAATCTGAAACATGCACAAAAAAAATCAAGTCAAGGATCAAAGAAAGTAATACGGAACGGAAAACACGCAATAGCGCGCCCCACACCCCCACCACCTACTCAAGGGACCAGATCAATTGAACCCTAGAAAATCTCAGGCGGGGGAAATCGAAGGGCGCAGATGGACAGGGAAAAACAGAGCCGGCACGATGCTCATAGGAAGTAGAAACAGGTCCCCGCAGAAGTCAATCGGAGAATTTAACGAAAATTGGAGAAGGCTGAATCTGGAGGGGTCCAAACCGAAAATTCTAACACAGCTGATTCTGTCTCTCTTTCGGCTTCGGTTTCGGTTTCGGTTTCGGTTTCGGTTTCGGTTTCGACCGTGAGAACTAGCCAGCAATTGGATCCCCAAACATGAATTATACACGATGATTGAATAAGATAATTCGTCAAACAAATTTAAACATTTTTCTGGTACTTTAAATCAATCATATGCAAATATATTTCAATTGGCTTATAGTATTGATGAATAAATTTAATTGTTATTCAATAAGTAAATTTTTAAATATTTTATATTGATATAATATATTATTTAAGTACATTTAAGTAATTAATATTTATTTAATAATATATTTAATAATAATATATTATAATTTAATATCAATATCTACATAATTGTAATATATATATATTTTTTATTTTTATTTCAGATAATGAGTTTGTTAGTACTTATTTATTTTATTTGATGTAAGAAGCTTATTTGTCAATCATGTAAAATTTGATACTAGGTTGCATCTGTTTTTTCTCATTTTTGTATCATTTTTATATTTATTTGTAGATATGTTTCATATATATTTGCACAATACATGAACAATTGGAGTGAATCGAAGAAAATGGAGTTAAGTCAGGATGAGTGTCTTGGCACCCGTCCAGGATAACTACTCTAACAAATAGCCCGATCACTTCCACGATAAAATCAAGAGCGCACAACATCACAAAGCTAGAGGCCAAGAATCCTAGTGTCAGAGACCAACGACATTGCGCCATACAAGCCAACAGGGATGCGCCCCAATGCCTTAATGTGACATTATGAAGCATGAAATGTGGAGCCCAAGCCAACGATGTGGCACCTATAGCCAACAACCTTAAGCTGCCTTGTCAGTGCCACCACGTCCCCACTAACTTAGGGTGATTTTGGTGTTTTCTTTGACACTTCTGCCAGGGTAGATCATGTAATAGCCAAATTACTTCACAATGTGAGACTTCTTACATTTGGAGATGGACAAACTTGGAGAGAGTGCTGAAGTTAGCCTAGAGCGTGTGAGTTGTATTTTCATTATTGTGACAACAAATCAATGTGTGATAAAATTGCAAAAAGAAAGAAATGTTGTGAAGTGAAAGGAGATTTAACTCTGGTTTGATTTTTTTTCTTCATTAGTGTAAACATTTTGTTCTATTTTTCTAAGTTTATGTTTCTTTTTCATATGTCTAGTAATTAAATTTCATTGTTTCTTTGATTTCGCAATATAATTTTTCAAGTTCATTCGGTGAAATTGCATAAGACTTTTTGATGTTTTAAATTTCTGTTAGTTTGTTAGCTTTCCAAGCCTCACTTATTTTTGTGTTAGCCAATTGAAATTTTAAAAACACTTGTGATATTGGAGCATTGACCATAGGCTAAAAGACCATGTAAGTTAACACTCATTCGCTTGATGGAATAGGAATATTGTCTTTTGAAGATTACAATCACAAAAATGTAGATTCCTAAGAGACTTTGTAGGGTTAGGGGGCCTTAACCATGATATAAGACTTTTAACACTTTTTATATCTATTAATAGAGTAATTGTTCATGATTGTCAACGCTAAGTTAGGGAAAATTTTAGAAGCATATCAAAAAATTATATAATCCATTTCAAAGAAGCATATTTTGAAAACTAGAAAACTCAAATATAATAGCTTTTTTACTTTAACAAATTTAAAATGTTAAAAAACCATTCAAAAAATTGACACATTTTGAATTAAGCATGTAATTAATAAATTAGTAATTAGAATATTTGAGAATTAACTCAATCCACTTAGAATCTATTCACATCCAACCTAAGAGGTGACGAGCCACGTTGAGAAGGAAAGCTCAGAGACTCACATTCAACCCAAGAGGTGACGAGCTACGTTGGAAGAAAAACTCGGGGACTCACATCCAACCCAAGAGGTAGTGAAAAGTTTTGAGAATGTCACATTAGGAAGGAAAGCTCGGGGACTCATATCCAACCTAAGAGGTGACGAGCCATGTTGGGAACAAAAGCTCGGGGACGCACATCAAACCCAAAAGGTGACAAGCTACGCTGGGAAGTAAAGCTCTGGGACTCACATCCAACTCAAGAGGTAGTGAAAGTGTTGAGAATTTCACATTAAGAAGGAAAGCTCGGGGACTCACATCCAAAATAAGAGGTGACGAGCTACGTAGGAGAAGATGAAGAATATTAGAGAAGAATTGTAAATAAGACGATAATGTGTTAATCAAGAATTGAAGAAGAAAAAGAACTAGGAGTAGGAGAAGAAGAAGAATACAAGAGAAAAAAGTAGAGAAAGATGATGATAGTTTGTTAATCAAAAGATGAAGAAGAAATAGAAAGAGAAGACAAAGAAGGGAAGAGAAGAATTATTAAGTAGAAGTATAGAGAAAAAAGTAGAAGAAAATGAAGTGCATGAGAAGTAGAAGAAGGGAGTAAGAGAAGAAGTGTGGAGAAGAATGTAAGAGAAGAAAAGTAGAAAGAGAATAATTAAATAGAAGAAAAGTAAATTAGGGGTGGAAGAAGAGCTAGGAAGAAGAAATAAAAGAGAAGTAAAAGTGCAGAAGTAGAGAAGTACAAAAATTAGAGAAGAAGTAGAAGTATAAGAAGAAGTAGAGAAGTAGAAGAAAATGTAGAAGAGAATGAAACTTACACTATAAGGCCAAAAAATAACTTAGGGCAAGCTGACCAAATGAGAACACCAAAGTGGGAGAGCAAGCCAAAGTGAGGAAGGAAGTGACAAATTCCTATTCCTAGAGGAGAGGAAGTGAGTCATATATTGAGTTAAGGTGGTGGTGGTTGTAAGTTCAAAGGTCTTCAACAAAAAGAAAGTTAAAGGCTAGTAGAGAGCTTAGTTATGCTAATTCTTAGGATCTCAATAATTTGTGGTTGGGTAAACAAGCTGATGATCTTGCTTCTTCTTGTAGGCTCACTAGAGGAAAAACTAGTAATGATGATATTTAATGCTCTTATCTAAAATAATAGAGGCATAGCTAAACCTATTTCTTTTTTGAGATTGAAGTGTTTGGTTCGTACTTATAATTTGCATTTTTTTAGTATATTGGAGCCATTGGTTGCTGTTAAAAACAATGATAAATTTATGAGAAGGGTTGGTTCTTTCAAGTTTTTAGCCAATCTTAATAATAAGATTTGGTTGTTTTGGAAGGAATTCATTAAGACTAATATACTTGTCAATCATAATTAGTTGTTGTATGTTCAATTCATGCCAATAATAATTCTTTTCTTTTCTCGGTTATTTATGCTGGTTGTTGAACCCAACTGTTTATATGCAACAGTATAACAATGTATTTGATTATGCTTTTCACTTATCTTTTCTTACTTTGCAACAATGTCAAAAACTTGATCTTGAGAAAGTAAGAGTTTAATTTTTTAACTTACTGTATATATATATATATATTGGGATACTAGACAAGTATATGTATCGTTATAAAGTAATATAGGACTTTTTTATTAAGTCCCGAATATTGAACCCACAGAGATTGTTCACAGTATGCGATAATTAAAGTAACCAAACTTTCTACTTTAAAAAGACAAATACTTAAACTATAGTTCTTATCACAAAAATGAAATTTGAACTCTTTTTGGTATTTTTAATGTTTGAAATAAAAACTTACTAAGGATAACTTGAGTTTATGTAAAAGAAAAGCACTGAATATGAAATATCATTCTCCTTATCATGAATCAATAATAATTATAGGAATTCTATTGTGAAAGTATTCAAATTATTTTGTGTCAAATAGGATCAATATTATTCTTTATCCTTGATAGAGATGCTATAAAAAATATTGGCTAATTTAAAGTTTGAATAGTTCTAAAGACCAGTTAGACAAGGAAGATACTAGCTCTCACTCTAGAGTTCCCTCGGTTCCCTCCACCTGAGGGCTAACATCTCGTATCAAAACCTAAAATAATAAACCAAGTTGGGGGCTCTAGTCTGTCACTATAAAGTCCTCTAAATCTACACCCTTCAAAGATTACATCCTTATTTATTTGCACTCAATCATATGAACTACATTCTCATTCATATAATCTCATGTGATTCTTTCCTATTATTGACTGAGACAATACCATCCTAGTTCTTACATGTTCTTACAACAAATTTTAACATCTAGATGGGTCAGATCAAGAAGTAAATGAAGTGCGTGGAAATAAATCATCACATAAATCATGCGTGGAAATAAATCTTCACAACTTCTTCCAACATTAAAGATTAATACTCTCCACAACTTCCGTCTAACACTTTAATTACTTATCATTTTAAGAAAAAATATAAAGAAATCTACTCAGAATCTATGGAAAAAATAAAAACACACTTGAGTTTAAAAGTAGAAATCAATTTAAATATAGAAATCATTATCAAACCAACAAAAAGTCTCAATTAAAACCAAAAGTAATTTAAAACAAAGATAAAAACTTATCTCAGATCCTCCACCAAACTCTTGAAGTTCCTTTGAATCTCTTCTCTCTTACAACACTCTTAACTCTCAAATTAAAACTATACACAAAAGGAAAATAAATTTATGGTGCCTGAAATTTTCTTTAAAAGCTTCTCCACGAACTTCTTTAAGAACCTTTCAGAACTTCTTAAGAATTTTTTAGGACTCCCCCCTTTAAAAAGTCTCAACTTCCTTCTTTTATAAGTTTCCAAGAGGTGTCTTGGTATCTCTTCAAAATGTGTCCTGATTCGATGTATTTACTAAGGGATGCCTCCTTTTACAAGTTCTTTAATTATATTTTCATCCTCCGTGGTTATAACCACTTATTTTAGCCAATAGGTGCCTCAAATGTCTCTTCAAAATTTGTCAAAATGAGTTAACCCGTCAAGTAACTATCACTGGCGCTTAAGCATGGGGCCTCTGACGCTTAAACATGACCTTCTCTGTTTCATCGGCGCGTACGCACCGGATCTGGTGCTTAGGCATCAAAATACTTTTGCATCATTTTTGCATTTTTGCTCCAAATTTGATCATTTTTCACTCCTTTTAGCATTTTTCACCTTTTTTCTTGTTCTTGAAAATAAAACACACAAATATCTTCCATTAAAGCACAATATCTCA